AACGAACAGAGTCCGCTAAGCTTCGAACAGACGCGGACGTAGTAGGATCTGCAGTGGCGCCGGCGCGTGCATCGTCGTCTTCGAAATTCGGGATAATACTCGCCGTTTGGTTCGGCCAGTGACGAGTCCGAGTCATTCAAGGCGTCCCGCGAAATTCGGATTTCCTCAACGTTGACCTGGTGAATTTTGGAATCTTGCTGAGGCTAGCATCATGCATGCGCAATCAACGACGCCGCCACAGGCGTTCTCGGTGCATTCGGTCCGAGAGAGGATAAAGTGGGCGCGATGCGTTCGATTCGGAACGTTTTTCTTGTCTTGTCCACCAGACGGTCGCGTCAACTGGCCATCATCGTTGGCAACAAATTGCAGCGATTGCGACTGAATTCAAGGTCCGGGATAATCGCTACATTTTACCAGCAATATATCATAGTCAGCGCTCAGCTCGGGATACCCAGAGTCATACCAATAGAGGCGACGAATCGACGTTGAACAAGGAAGTAAGTAGGAGAGTTGAACGAGTTACGTAACGACGCGTCAACAGCAGACAACAGGTTACATAATCAGGTACAACTTGGACTGAACCGCCACCTCGTCTTCCTCGTCTCCTTGGAGCTTCGTTTTTAGCTGTGTTTAGTCCTTTTTGGCTACTAGTTGGCCCCCTTCGCGCGTCGGGTTGGTCAGCCTTGAACTCTTCGACGCTATCAACCATGGAACCAAGAACCGTGCAAGGTCCAGGCGGCGTCCCCAATCCACAACCCACGCACAGGCGTCAACAACTCGAATTTTCTTTCGATTCCGACGGACCACAGACGCGTTATATCCTATCTACAGCTGAACCAACCGGCTTTGCACCCCCCTTGGTCCGGAAGCCTCTTTGCTCACGATAACTTTAAATAAAGCGTGTTACCTCGAATTTCGACATCGGCGGAGAGTCTTCGACTCCGCCTGTGTGTCTCCGCGCCCGAAAGAAGAGCATTATACGGTTCCTATGTACGCTACGTCTGATAGATGCCTCGAAACCGGCGGCCTCGAACACGTCGTGTTGGGTTCAAGTCGAATCGGAAGGCGAATCATTGGATTCGCTGCGATAGCTCAAGTCGACTTATTCGAGCTCAGGCATACACAGACGGATATCATAAAAGTCCAGGTCACTGTAGAGACTAGTCTTCCTCCGGCGACTTGACAAGAGAAGCTAATATTTCCGAGTCCTTCTCCTCACCCGCTGTCTCGCGCACGTTGTGTTCTCCATTCCGGCTCACACACCAAACATCGTTCTGTGTGTTCCATAGGTCTGGACGACTTCACTTCTTCGATTCATACCCCACGTTGATTCGTTGATTGAAAGCTTTTCGCTGGATGTACTTTTATAACGTCCGGTCCGATGCCCGGCTAAAATGTGTGTATCCATTCGCGGTCACAGGAAGTTTAATTGACCGACAGACATTTAGCGTTGCGCGCACAGCGCCAGTTGCCCGGCGTAAGTTCTGTGTGAGTTGCCGGTCAAGTCAATTGAAACAAATACAGCGGTAATTCTCGCTTTTTTCTACCGTACTCAGAGCTACCTTTTGAAATTCACTTCATTGCTCCTTGAAGGTACCGGTCGTCTCGGTCGGGTTTCAAGCATTGTGTTAGCCTTTTGCTTGCAAGTATACTGATTCAGCAACCATTTATGCGGTCCGATACTTGCGTGGTGCGCACGCTAACTCTAATTTGAAACCCAATATTAATTTTAGGGTTGCAGTGCGCTGAGATCTATGCAGATACTACGAGATGTAGCCAAGATTAATCCGCTCAGTTCAATCGCGCTATGCCTTCCTCTATACACCGTTCGCACCTCTACTAACGAAACTACCGCTTTGTGTCAATCCGATGGAACTTCATCGTAGCAACAAGTCTGCTACGGCCCGACGTCAAATAGAATCGCCGAGACAGTGTTCCGCTGGACCAGAACGACAGTGTTTTACTTGTTTTCACAATTGACGCCGGACAGAGTGCCCCCCTCAGGTGCCGTGTCACTAACACCTGGAGATTGTGACACAGACTCTGGAACAATTCACAGCAATCCAGTATTGATTGTTTATCCTCGCCATCCTTAGACGACCTTGGGCCGTCTGTATCTCCACTAAACTTTAGCAACACTCTTGGCTTGGTACGCCCCACATCCATGCCCCGCGTTCATTTTGACCGTTAACTTCCTCTAGAGAGCGAAAGCTCAAATTTCATCTGGTTAAACTTTTCAAGCACGCGTCAAAGAAACTTCAAGATGGTCTTATCAACGCCTACAACAAGACGTACGAGCGCTCGGTGTCCGGTGCGCGTTCCGATTTATCTGAGACTGTGGCTCCATTCTCCTCGCCCACCGGAATCCTGAAAAGGCGAATTCATGAATGGAGAAAAGTAGAGCGTGTAGTATGTTGTGGGTGTCGGCTGTTGCGCGTGCCTGTCGCTAACAGCATCTCACTTGCAAGGGACTTTGACCCCCGAGGGGGTACGGCGTTTTGTTGTTTCGCCCTTTCTACACTGCTTGCTTGTTATTTCCGCGAAACTATGTTCAAGACAACACCGCCATCTGTTCCGTACTTGCACTACGATGATGTTTCGGTTTCGGAGTGGTTCGCTACGGATGTTGGGGAGTACAGACTGCTTCGGTCAGATCTTTTTAGTCACTTAAAGTGCTGAGCGGTCCTCTGCGGGACGGAAAACAGCGGAAACAAAATGCTTGGGCATCCGCACTATCCGCAGGCATCCGCCGTGCGAGACCGAGCGGCAAAAATGGTGTTTATTGTGCCGCTCGGTCATGTTAGTCGCCAGTCTCTTGTCATGTATTTCATTTCGTACACTGTGGGGCGCTGGACGTCAGAAACCGTTCGCCCCGTCGCCGCAGAGGCGCCACATTTTCTTTTACCAAAGACACAGACGAACACTACAGTTATGTTACGAGCCTGTAGAATGACGAGTTGTTCGGCCAGGATGCGAATCGTACAATACACAACGAGCACAAGACTGATGCCCTAGTCGACAGCTCAAGGACGAGATTTTGAAGTTGTTGCACACGTTAACGGCTACTAAGCGCGATTGGATCCATGGCTGCAATTCTTGATTGCAAAGAAGGCGGCCGGGCCATGAAAGCGGGAAAAAAGATTGATCATATACCGTGACTGCTGCGCAATTACTACCGCTACAGTTTCAAAATGCGCCTAGTCTGAATGCAGAATCAGAACAGCATCAACAGGCAATAGCCAGTGCAGACGAACACTCCAACGATACAACAGATAATTGAAGCTCAGTGATGGCGGAATGTTGATCCTGATCTCGAGGCGTTGTTGTGTGGGGGGATGTCAAGTTGGGACAAGACTTTGCGAAGCGAACCAGGCACAAGAGTCTTTGTTCGGTAGGATCTTGAATGGCTGATCGTCGAGGTAAGGGGAGCTTGAATCCTTGGCTTGAGTGTGGAGTTGGTGGCGTTGAAGATACCGGAAACAACGATATTGAGCGATCTTCGGGTACGTCCGACGAAGCGGCCGACAAGTAAGGTCACGCTGTATGAGCAGGTGCTCAAATGAATCTTGGGCCCCTGGGGGATTGTGTACAGTTAGTTGACACGCATCTAGGATGAGGGGAAGAACCCACAACAAACAAATACCAAACCAAAGCTCGCCGTCGCGGGAAGCGTGTAATTGATTTGGGAGTAAGTTTTTTTCTTTCTTCCAGCTGACGCCCCCCTTTGAGACAAACAGTCGATTGCGATGAATCGCGCCCTTCTCTTCAGTAACAGTTCTCGCAGAGTTTCCGCGATGAACGTAACGCAAGAAGGAAGTCTTCCTTGTCCCGAGACAGCCCCGAGCGACGCAGAGGTGACCGCGAAGAATTAACGGAAGAATTGGCAGTGGGGAAATAGTCGTCAAAGCCGCTGTTGAGGTGTGCAACTGTGAAAGGCTACCGTCATGCCGACAAGATGGGAATCTGGAAATCTTGCGAATAGCGTCAATGCACAAGATGCAGTCATTATTGATCCAGTCCCAGAGAGATGATGAACCCAGGAACCCTCCGGCTTTCAGAAGGGCCGAAGCAGGGGAAGTCAGAATACTGGAGGCTGCACGCGAAATAGCGGTAGAGAAATTGGAAGATGCGGGTCGTTGTGCGGCTGGTTGCATTTCGCGTGGTCGGCGCATGTACATATATACTCGGGAGATGCAGATCCCGAGTTTCGTGCGTCAACTAACAGAACACCGAGCACACAGCGCGTGAATACAGTCCGTCTTGTAGATCCCCAAAAGATTCGAAGCCATTATGTGTTGGGGGAGACGAGAATGAACTTGATGTGGCAGTCTAGCGGTGGTGACTGACAGTCAGCCTGTATCAACGATGTAGATCGTGAAAAATGCTCAGGCTTGGGTGAATACTTTCAAAAACACATTCAATGCGATGGCGTGATATTCGGAGATTCTGTTAAGGAAGGGGGTCGATTCTGTGTTCTCAATGGATCGAAACGAACATCAACTCACAGACTGGGTGTGGTTCAAACGGTAGTATACGTGTATGTTTTCGGCGTGCGCTAACGATCTTGGAACGTGCGTGATCCTTGAGGAACCAAGAATACCGCTGATACGAGGCTCGAGCAGAGAGAAAAGAAGGCTGCAATAGCCCAGACCTGTGATACAACGTGCACTCAGCACAAGACGCTTCGAGGGTAGCGGCTGAGGTGGTTTACATTGAAGTGACGGTCACATCAAGTCACAATGATTCCATCATTGACCATCGATGAAGTCGACCGGATGGCTTCTGGCAACCGCAGTTCGCGTGCTGTAACCATGAAAATAGAGGAGGACATGCAGGAGGGGTAGGGGCACATACTGAAGCACGCAGGAAGGCAGGGGATCAAGGGAACCCTCAGAAAATCAAAATTTCGGGCCATCAGTACATAAATGATTCTGAAACGTTTTTCCCCCCGTTCTAGAAGCACAATAGGAACGATGGAAGATGCAAAAAGACGCAAAAAGGGGCTCAACCGGGAATTGAACCCGGGACCCTCGCCCAATCTGTGGCGACCGGGTTGGTTGCCGGGTAGAACCCGAAGGGCGAATCATACTTCTAGACCATTGAGCCATTGAAATGGGGTGGCCAGAAGGTGCTATAGAAAAACAAAGAAGAAGGAACATCGTCCCGCCGACCAGCTAACGGGAAGTGCAGCAAAAAAATCGTAGCAGTTGGTCAACTATGACGTCGGCGTAGAATGGCAGTGCGACCTGAGCGGGAGGTGCCAAAAGACTCCATAGAAAGTGGGATGGGCCTGAGAACGAAGTATATAGTTAGAAGAGAACATTGCGTCAAAGTCAGTTGAAAATTCTCCCTCAGAATCGCGGAATTTGGGCAGATTGCTTGCGCTCCTTGGGAGGTCAGGTCCTAGAGTTCAATGTCGTGTAGCACGGGCGCAAAATGTTGCTAGAGAGATATCAGTGAAGATGCTTTGGCTGAAAAGGTGAAATTCCCAAACTTACTTTGGGTTTGGAGATATGTGTCAACGGACAAGGTGAAAAACACAGAGAAACAGTGCACTCCGTAGACACCAGAGACCTTAAATCGTCAGGGAAGACACACAGTTACCTGAGTTACCTGGTGGATATTCATCTTGAAAAGGTGGCCAGTACTGGGACCTATCTAATCGTGCTGACAATATTCTTACTGGGAACAACTAGAGGGACGCAAGCTCGACGGTGTCCTTCATCGGAAGAGGATCGGTGCTGCAGTGTGAGGTTGAAGCTGCAGTCTTTGCGCACCGACTAGTTACGACGAGAAAAGGAGCGACATTTTTGATGTATCTGGTTGGCGAGATCTCCAGCCTGAAAGTGTTCAGGATTGTCGGTTCATTCCAGGCATAGGGAAGCTGTCAGAGTATATGGGCAGTCTTCCAGTCGTTGTGATTCGGGCTGGCATTACTTCAGAATGGTATGTATGTAGTTTCATGACATTGGAGAGGAGGTTTGAACGAGGTTGATTACGAAGTAGTCTGAATTGGTATGGTTAGTGATAGTTAAGGCAGGTAAGTAGAAGGGTATATCGGTTCCGCCGCAAGGGGTCGGTTAACTTCATTGGGGGCGAAACTGAGTATGCGCAGAAGCTCTTGCTGCGAAGCCTTGAGAATCTTCATGAAGGCGTCGTTAATAACGGCAGCGTTAGAAACCTTACCCTTGATTCTATGAAACAGTTTAGCGCAATGAGTCGCGTTACTGGTTGAGATTGGACGGCCCCAGGAGGCTGAGGCGCGGCACTTCTGAAAGTATTTCTGTAAGGGTCTAGTAGAGATTCCTGGATCCATTTTATGGTTGCCAGGCAGTACTACGCAATTTTCCCAGTCAGTTATCCAGACACAAGATTGTGAGGCTTCATTCCGTCGTTCAAGTAGGAAGATGCGCTTGGAAGTACTTAGAAGAGCTTAGCAGACATCGAATGTGTGGCCTGTGCAGTATGATCTCCACTTTGTAACACACGAGTCCATATTCTGCGGTTTGAGATGCCCAAAAGACTGGCGTTCTTTGACGCTGCACGCCCTGCTCCATTGCCTCCGGCGAACTGCCTCTTCCATCTGCTACGTTTCTCAAAACCAATCTCAGGATTCAGCTCTTGAGAATGCCCATCATAGAGGCACAGCTGCAGGCACTGTTTAGTGCGGCCAATGAATCCTCTTTCTTCACTCTCTTCGAGCAAGACCGTGCTCCTTCTTCCCAGGAACAGAGCGCAATTGAACTGATACTTACGGAGAAGACTGCTGACTTCGACGACCTTCTCTCACAAATTCCCGAGAGACAATGCGGAAAGATAGTCAAAATTCCTCATGGATTGCTCCGCGAACTACAATATTTAGGAGAGTTGATAGCCTTTCATCGGGCGTTGCTTGCACCCTGGCGTCGACTTCCTGTCGAGATCATTTCTCAGATTTTTCAGCTGACTTTGGAGAGTAGAGGTTTGTGGCGACGCTTTTGGAAAAGACGATCGCGCAGGCACTTTGCGCCTCTGCAACGTCTGTCCGATATGGAGAGCGATTGCTTTACAAACACCTGGACTATGGAACATTTTGTCCATTCGTTCTCCCATTCGTTTTATGAAATGGGTTTCAACGTGGCTGGAACGTTCGCGATCGCTCCCTGTTGCCCTCGAGCTGCGTTGGGGAGATGGTGTTTATCCACAATTCGTACTTCCAGTCCTATCGACGTTTGCGATGCATCTCAATCACACTGTTGAATTATCGCTAGGTACATATGGGTGTTTACTTCGGTCAGCATTCTCCTCTGACAAGTTTATACAAGGCCGATTTGCAAACAAACCGTACCAAAAGCTGATGGACGACCTTTATTCTATCGTCACCTTCAAGTTGCGCATCGAATCGATCCAAGCTCCTCTCCTTTCAACTGTCCGCGTCAATTTGCCTGCAAAGGGCAGCGTATGGAGATGGATTCACGCGGCATGCCATACTTCGCGCTGCGTGTCGCAGTTCTCTACGTCCCATCTTGCTCTCGACAGATTCCCAATGTCCAATGTCACCGTCTTGGAGCTGCTTAACCCCCTCCCAATGTTGGAGGTATTTCGGATTTTCGAGGAAGCTTCGAGTATCGAAAAAATCGCCTTTTACACCTACGGGACTGGCGCTGTTTGCTCACCCCAAAGCCGCCTTGGTATGAAATCGGTGAAGAGGTTGAAAATAGGGTGCCACGAAGAATTCGGTGATTTTCTTCAGTGCGCCGAGTTCCCCAACCTTGTGGACTTCGCAATCCGCGAGGTTGATGATTGGCCATGCGGCGAGATGGATGCCTTTCTTTCCCGCTGCTCGTGCGCTCTACAGTCCCTCGAAATTTTTGACTGCACTTTGCTTGAAATAGAGCTCATTGAATGCCTACAGCACAAGGCCTGTAATACGCTGGAATCGCTCACAGTCATCGATCCCTGTGTCCCTGTCCAAGACGCGTTCCTCAAGTATCTCACCTACCAGGGCCCTGACTATCAGCTGCCCTGCCTCACCCATATCCATCTGCAAACGATCTACGCCTCTGATGGCCTGCTTTCTGCGCTCGTAGAGTCGCGTTCCCTTCAGCTGATGGCTCAGCCGTCTTCTGATCGGCTCACACCAGTGCAACTGAACCAGATACAGTTTTCCTTTTTCATGTATCCTAGTTTCAGCCACAAACAAACACATCCCATCGACTGGAAGCGACTCCGAGAATTGGAAAGCATGACGAACGGAAGGCTGGCGATCGTGTGGCCTGCGGCCGAAAGTGATTCAGAAGACGAGGAAGAGGAAGAGAGTGATACAGATGAGGACGAGGACGGGGAAGACACCGAAGATGAAGTAGTGTTCTATTGGGATTGAGCTCCGCCTCACTACTTCGAGAACCGAATCTGTCAGGCTCCGCCTCATTCACGGAGGAACATAGATCTTTTGAATTCTGACGGAGCCTGTCCGCCATGGTATCGCAAACTAGTTCTCCAATGCACCGATCTCTCTTTCCCATCGATCGCATACTACGAACACTCCGCCTGCTTTCGCCTATATGCTGGAACAAATGTTCTCTACCCGAATGCCTGTAATTCAACATCTTCAAAAAGGTCAAATTGAATAAAGGTTTCGAATCATTCCAGACCTCGCGGTGTCCACCAATGCCTTCGACATTGAGAACTTATGTTCGATAATTGAAGGCTGGAATGCATAAATCGGAGGACACGAGACGCGATAGCCGGCACGGCCCACCACTTGCCATGGGTCAGTATTGTCAAAATGGCTCCGGAAGGATGCAAAGTTATGTCGGTAGTACCGACAGGCAACATTCATCATGTCGGGTCCACCGCAGATGAAGAAACCCCGGATGCCGCATTCGTACACTCGCAACCAGGGTAGCAGTATAAGACAACGTCGAGGTCAAGCAGACATCCTTATCCTGATTTTTTCTGAGTCCTTCGTTGGCCATGATGCTCGCCCAACAGCCAAATCTCGTCGGAGCTTTGCTCGGCACCTCCACAGAGAAGTACGGAGTTCCTATAACTCATACTCCCCGCAACTACCAGGCGTTCCCTGGGTCTAAATACGCTCTTCCACACGACACCGAGGAGCAGCAAAGGCATGTCTTCACTTGTGCTGCCAGAAATCAAGTATACTGAGGCGAGCACCAGATTGTTGCTTCAGCACCACACTCTGAAGAGCCTGTTCGAGAACAGAATATTGCTGTGTCCAGTGAGCTTGGACAAAAGCGACAAAGTCCTAGAGATAGGCACTGGACCTGGTGAATTGCGCAACGCCATTCGTCTGCCAAAGTTACTTGGAGCTGAACGTCAGGCATAGGGCTCTGGATCATGGATCTCGCATCGACTGTAGACCCTTCTGTCCCTATGGTCGCCGTCGATATCGAGCCGAGACTGTTCCCGACATCTCCCCCGAAAAACATCGAGTTTCGGGTCGAGTCTGTCACGAATTTGCCAGCGGATTGGACGAACACCTTCTCGCTCATTCATCAACGACTACTAATCCTCGCTCTGCAAGTCCCGCAGTGGCCAAAAGCCATCAGCGAGCATTACCGAGTCCTTCGTCCTGGAGGATGGATCCAACTTGCCGAGTGCACCCCTTGGCACGAAGGCAAATACCCCGGAAAACCGTGCATGGAGAAACTTACCGGCTTGTACCGGCGCCTCGCGGAACACCGCAACCTCTACGTCGATTGCGTATACGATATACCAAAGATGCTCGAAGCAGCGGGATTCGTTGATATCCAGAGGGAGTCGCGGATGCAACTGCTGGGCAAATGGGCAGGGGACATCGGAGCTGCCAACGCGATCAACCATGTTGGCGTGTTTCGCGGTATAAAGACTCCAGTTCTCGAGGCTGGTGGATTCGGCGTTGTTGCATCTTCTGAGGAATACGACGCGCTTTTGGAAGGATTGGACAAAGAGTGGAATGAGATCCCGGGGAGCGAGAAAGACTTCATTATTACTTGGGCCCGAAAACCATTGTGATCTTGCGTGTTGTAGTTAGTATTCCAGTTGACTGAGAACTAGAGAACTTGAAGAAACCGATATACCGTCATGAGAGTAAAGAGCAAGGCACGGCGCGTGACACCTCGCGT